ACAGAAATATTTTTGGAATATTTAACTTTTTTGGTGAATTTTTGTCAGGGAAGCTATGGACTGCCGTAATCATGCATTATGTTGATGTTCTTCTCATAAAAAAAATATTTGGGTTTGGAATTGGGCTTTGCTTTTTTGTATACATGTTTTTTACATATTTAGCAATTTACACACAGAAAAATTTTGGAATATTTAACTTTCTTGGTGAATTTTTGTCAGGGAAGCTATGGACTGCCGTAATCATGCGGCTGCAAAAGTGCCGTACTTATGCAGTATTTTGATGCTTTTCCTGTGGAAAGGATAATGAAATTTAAAATTAAGCTTTGCTTTTTTATATACATGTTATTTACACAATTAGCAATATATACACAGAAATATTTTTGGAATATTTAACTTTTTTGGTGAATTTTTGTCAGGGAAGCTATGGACTGCCGTAATCATGCATTATGTTGATGTTCTTCTCATAAAAAAAATATTTGGGTTTGGAATTGGGCTTTGCTTTTTTGTATACATGTTTTTTACATATTTAGCAATTTACACACAGAAAAATTTTGGAATATTTAACTTTCTTGGTGAATTTTTGTCAGGGAAGCTATGGACTGCCGTAATCATGCGGCTGCAAAAGTGCCGTACTTATGCAGTATTTTGATGCTTTTCCTGTGGAAAGGATAATGAAATTTAAAATTAAGCTTTGCTTTTTTATATACATGTTATTTACACATTTAGCAATATATACACAGAAATATTTTTGGAATATTTAACTTTTTTGGTGAATTTTTGTCAGGGAAGCTATGGACTGCCGTAATCATGCATTATGTTGATGTTCTTCTCATAAAAAAAATATTTGGGTTTGGAATTGGGCTTTGCTTTTTTGTATACATGTTTTTTACATATTTAGCAATTTACACACAGAAAAATTTTGGAATATTTAACTTTCTTGGTGAATTTTTGTCAGGGAAGCTATGGACTGCCGTAATCATGCGGCTGCAAAAGTGCCGTACTTATGCAGTATTTTGATGCTTTTCCTGTGGAAAGGATAATGAAATTTAAAATTAAGCTTTGCTTTTTTATATACATGTTATTTACACAATTAGCAATATATACACAGAAATATTTTTGGAATATTTAACTTTTTTGGTGAATTTTTGTCAGGGAAGCTATGAACTGCCGTAATCATGCATTATGTTGATGTTCTTCTCATAAAAAAAAATATTTGGGTTTGGAATTGGGCTTTGCTTTTTTGTATACATGTTTTTTACATATTTAGCAATTTACACACAGAAAAGTTTTGGAATATTCAACTTTCTTGGTGAATTTTTGTCAGGGAAGCTATGGACTGCCGTAATCATGCAATATGTTGATGTTCTTCACATAAAAAAAAATATTTGGGTTTAGAATTGGGCTTTGCTTTTTTATATACATACTAACAACAGAACTACACTACTTTAAGGACATGAGAGCACATGCACTGTATCACCATACGTGTACCATTTTCAAAGACCCTGCTTAGGATTAAAACTTCTCAGATGCATAACAATAGTACCAACCTAGAGGTTAACTGGTGTGGATGCATTCCTCTGGGAGTGAGACTATTGAGAAATTCAGTAGGGAGTTATTTTGCTTCTCCGCATTCTAACACTCCAACTGTTAACACTGTGGAAACACTGACTCATGTTTGGTAAGCAATTTCAGGGAAGAAACTATAGACATTGGATTAAATAAATTATTAATTAAATTGCATTAAATAAAAATTATTAGATTTAAATAAATATTATTAGAGTGAAAAAAAAGACAGAAATTAACAAATTAGAAAATAAAATTTCGAAAAATGCAACTATATTGCAGATAAGATAAGAGGACCTTATTAAAAAATACATAAACAAACTGTAATTCGACACTCGATAATTCGACACTTTCGATAATTCGACCATTTTTAAAATCAAATTTACAAGGATGATTGTTGTTTAAATACAACTTTGCTTTTGCATGCATAAACACAGGCTCTTGTAGCAAGAACCCAAATATTATTTATAGTCATAGCAAAAGCCAACTAAGTGAAAACTGATGCCTCTTCAGAATGAATGGAAGACTGAAATCTGAAGGAGCAGAAGATATGGGTCATTTATACTTTCACCAATGCCTTTAGGATCTTTGCGATGGAACGCGTATGGTGTTTCAGCGCATGTGCTCTCATGTCCTTGAAGCACATATACTGACAGTGCCCAAAGTTGAACACACTGTATAGTGTCTGAAATATCTTTGGCCCCTTCGGATACCAACCTTCGCTTCATTCTAGAGAGGCGTTAGTTTTCATGTCATATTTGTAATATAGTTTTGTTGTTTGCAATTTTCTTTTTTTTTTCCTTTCAAATATGTATCCACTCTGAAATATAGTTTGTAAATTTTTATTCCAATTTATTTTCTTATATATATATGTATTTTTTTTTTCATTTCCAAAATATTTATTTATACTTTCACCAATGCCTTTAGGATCTTTGCGATGGCACACGTATGGTGTTTCAGCGCATGTGCTCTCATGTCCTTGAAGCACATATACTGACAGTGCCCAAAGTTGAACACACTGTATAGTGTCTGAAATATCTTTGGCCCCTTCGGATACCAACCTTCGCTTCATTCTAGAGAGGCGTTAGTTTTCACTAGGGTTGGCTTTTGCTATGACTATAAATAAGGCTCAAGGCCAAACCTTGGCTACAAGAGCCTGTGTTTACGCACGGACAACTTTATATGTGGCTTTTTCAAGTGTGCGAACATTGGATAGCATACATGTAAAGATGACCCATATCTTCTGCTCCTTCAGATTTCAGTCTTCCATTCATTCTGAAGAGGCATCAGTTTTCACTAAAGTTGGCTTTTGCTATGACTATAAATAATATTTGGGTTCTTGCTACAAGAGCCTGTGTTTATGCATGCAAAATCAAAGTTGTATTTAAACAACAATCAACCTTGTAAATTTGATTTTTAAAATGGTCGAATTATCGAAAGTGTCGAATTATCGAAAGTGTCGAATTATCGATAGTGTCGAATTACAGTTTGTTTATTTATTTTTTAATAAGGTCCTCTTATCTTATCTGCAATATAGTTGTATTTTTCGAAATTTTATTTTCTAATTTGTTAATTTTTTCTTTTTTTTTTCACTCTAATAATATTTATTTAAATCTAATAATTTTTATTTAATGCAATTTGATTAATAATTTATTTAATCCAATGTCTATAGTTTCTTCCCTGAAATTGCTTACCAAACATGAGTCAGTGTTTCCACAGTGTTAACAGTTGGAGTGTTAGAATGCGGAGAAGCAAAATAACTCCCTACTGAATTTCTCAATAGTCTTACTCCGAGAGGAATGCATCCACACCAGTTAACCTCTAGGTTGGTACTATTGTTATGCTTCTGAGAAGTTTTAATCCTAAGCAGGGTCTTTGAAAATGGTACACGTATGGTGATACAGTGCATGTGCTCTCATGTCCTTAAAGAAGTGTAGTTCTGTTGTTTGCAATTTCATTTTCGGATTTGTTAAAATTTTTCTTCTATAGTTTCTCACCTGCGGGTCCTTCGGGTAAACCCGGGGCGTTGCCCGGGTCACTCGGCTAGTAAATAGATATAAATAGATGAAAATAATTAATAAATATACATATATATAAAATATATACAAGGTCTTCATTGGTGGTGCCCACCGCGGGAAAGACTCCGCCACCGGTGGTCTGCGAGAGTAAGAGAAAGAGAGTTAAACCTGTCTATAACGCCCCCTCTAAACAGCGCCATCCTCTCTATAGCGCCCGATTATAAATACGTAGTACGATGCGATTTACATTAAAAGTGACCTGTCTATAGCACTCCCTCTTTATAGCATCCTATTTTGGTGAGTCCTTTAAGGGGGCGCTATAGCAGGTTTAACTGTATGTATGTATATATATATATATATATATTACCTATATTTGTACTGCATTATTATTTTAATTTATTATTCTATTGACCTCTCTGAGAAAGATCGAAATATTTTAAATTTTTATCTTTTGTGACCCAGGTGTACGTTTTCTTTATTCCTCCTATATTTGATAGATCACCAATTGACTCTAGCTATACAAATCAAGTTATAATTAACTATTTTTTTATAATATCTGTTTATCTTTTGATATAGCGATTTTAGCGCCCAATGAGTATTACTAAAATATTATTATTCCTTACAATTTCATCTAATAATTATTGTAGTTTTACTAATAATTGTAGGATCTATACTTATATCTTATGAAAAAGGCATCTCCTTATCGTGCAACTGAAAGTTGCTGATGGGTTACGCCATCTATCGGAATAAATATCAACTATTCTGGTTGATTTTCGCTATTCCAGTATTGGCCAAATATCCATTCTTGATTAATCAAAAAAGCTAACCACGGACGCATTTCAGGCTGTTGGCCCTCATCAGCGTGATGCAAGCTGTACCTCAACGACCAAAAAACAGGTTATTCAATCATCCTGAAAAATCATGAAACGGCTAGTTGAGGCCAGAATTGCGTGAGATGGTGACACAATGTGAAAAAACAATACAAATGTAATATTGTACTGGGATAAGGTGCATAAATTATGAAAAAGGCATCTCCTTATCGTGCAACTGAAGGTTGCTGATGGCTTGCGCCATTAATCAATAAAAGCTAACCACGTACGCGTTTCGGACTGTTGGCCCTCAACAGTGTGGTGCAAGCTGTACCTCAACGACCGAAAAACTGGTACTTCTAGTCATTACTTATATCTGTATAATTGTGTTTGGAAGCACATTGAAGACATTTTGAATAACTATTAATTTCAAATATATTTGTAAAAAACTTTAATATCTTACTTATTCTAAAATAGTTTTAGTTTTTTTTTTATTCTAGTTTACCTTTTAATTTTTAATCTACTTATATAATTGCCTTATTCTGTCTGTGTGAAGTTCACTGTGTGAAGTTCACGGATAGATTTTGGTCAGAATGGATAAAATAAAAAAAGTTCCAAGGGATGGGAATCGAACCCACGACCTTCCGCTTACCGGGCAGATGCCATGACCACTAGGCCACATGACCACAATTTATAATTGTAACAAATAGTATTTGAATCAAAACATTCAATCGGGTAAAAACGGGCGTTGCCCGGGTCATTCGGCTAGTTAAGGAAAAAAATAATTCGGAAATTATGGGCCTACACACATGGGTACGTATAAAATTGCATAGTTTTAACCACAAAATTATATCAGAGGCTATCAATAGATTAAGCTATTGTATCAGTTATAGCCGTGTCATGTTTACGATCTATATCTACATAATGGGAGGAACACCTCAATAGATTGAATATAAAAGAGTTGTTAAACTCTCTAATTATCTGAAGGAAAGGTTACTCCAATCTTAGCAGAAAGGCACTTCATTAACTCTTTAATGGCCATTAACATTTAATTAGAACATAATGACCCTAGTGTTGAGGTAATCAAAAGGAAAATGGGAGTTGTAGTCACGTACTCTGAAGATCACCAGGAATTGTCGACCATGGGATAACCCTTGGAAAAGGTAGAAGACAAAGGATTGGTTCAATAATCCAATAGAATAATACGTACACCTATATTCTTGTTCAGGTACAACTACTACAATAGGAACGATACAGAGAAGATTAGCATGGCCCCTGTGATACCAGTTCGGCGGTACAACTCCTACAATAGGAAGGATACAGAGAAGATTAGCATGGTCCCTGTGATACCAGTTCGGCGGTACAACTACTACAATAGGAACGATACAGAGAAGATTAGCATGGTCCCTGTGATACCAGTTCGGCGGTACAACTCCTACAATAGGAAGGATACAGAGAAGATTAGCATGATCCCTGTGATACCAGTTCGGCGGTACAACTACTACAATAGGAACGATACAGAGAATATTAGCATGGTCCCTGTGATACCAGTTCGGCGGTACAACTCCTACAATAGGAAGGATACAGAGAAGATTAGCATGGTCCCTGTTATATCAGTTCGGTGGTACAACTACTACAATAGGAAGAATACAGAGAAGATTAGCATGGCCCCTGTGATACCAGTTCGGCGGTACAACTACTACAATAGAAACGATACAAAGAAGATTAGCATGGCCCCTGTGATACCAGTTCGGCGGTACAACTACTACAATAGAAACGATACAAAGAAGATTAGCATGGCCCCTGTGATACCAGTTCGGCGGTACAACTACTACAATAGAAACGATACAAAGAAGATTAGCATGGCCCCTGTGATACCAGTTCGGCGGTACAACTACTACAATAGAAACGATACAAAGAAGATTAGCATGGCCCCTGTGATACCAGTTCGGCGGTACAACTACTACAATAGAAACGATACAAAGAAGATTAGCATGGCCCCTGTGATACCAGTTCGGCGGTACAAATACTTCAATAATGTTACGATGTACAAGAGCGCCATCTGCTATCAAATTATAAAACTATTTTAGAGGCGTAATATTCTTTTTAAAATAAAACAATCTCTACTGTCCTTACTGCGATGGAAAAATTAAAGGGAGGGCCTGGCTCATCAGTGGTGAACCCTCCCAGCGGTTTCGCCAGTTTAATCTACCATACCGCTGTTATATTGCATTTTTGGAACTTCCTTTTATAGGTGACTGTTGTAAGACTCTTGGAATGGGCATTTTAGAAGAACTATGGACATTATTTGATATTTGCGGAAGAGCGATTGCTCGAAGCATATTATATATTTATAATTATATTTAATTCTGCTGTCCTAAAAGCTAATGTCCATAGTTCTTCTAAAATACCCATTCCAAGAGTCTTACAACAGTCACCTATAAAAGGAAGTTCCAAAAATGCAATATAACAGCGGTATGGTAGATTAAACTGGCGAAACCGCTGGGAGGGTTCACCACTGATGAGCCAGGCCCTCCCTTTAATTTTTCCATCGCAGTAAGGACAGTAGAAATTGTTTTATTTTAAAAAGCATATTACGCCTCTAAAATAGTTTTATAATTAAATACTTCAATAGAAACGATACAAATAAGATTAGCATGGTCCCTGTGATACCAGTTCGGCGGTACAAATACTTCAATAGAAACGATACAAATAAGATTAGCATGGCCCCTGTGATACCAGTTCGGCGGTACAAATACTTCAATAGAAACGATACAGAGAAGATTAGCATGGACCCTGTGATACCATTTCGGCGGTACAACAACTACAATAGAAACGATACAGAGAAGATTAGCATGGCCCCTGTGATACCAGTTCGGCGAAGAATTATTTCTTTGATTTAAATATTTCATTCAGTATATATACAGCTAATAATTTGTTTGCTGTTAGATAAAGATTGATAAGACAAAGGATCGATAAGATAAAGGGTTGAAGGGGCAGTCGTGATAAGAAAAAGATAATTATTCATCATCAAGTAGCTTTTATTTTCAATTACTTGAAGACATATTGCTCATTAGGTTTTTTCACATTATATAGAATTTATAAAGTTAATCCTATATTAGTGATTCAAAAAGATAGATATGTTAACTACGCATATTTACAACAAAACTGAAAGTCATTCTAAAAACGATGATAATAAAAAAATTAGAATTATCAATGAATAAAAATAAAATACGTTAAACCTATCTATAGCGCTACCTCTTGGGACTCACCAAAATAGGGTGCTATAGAGAGGGGGTGCTAACTTATAACTGTAATGTACCCTTCCAATTTATACTTTCATAATCTTTCTTCACCTATCTGCTCACTCTACTATCACTGTACATATCCGGGGGAAACGACTCACCTCTTGACTTGCTCTCCTTACCAGACCCACCACTGAACCTTCTTCAGATGAGCCCGGAAAAGTCCCCAGATGGACTTGAGCGGGAGATGTAAATGTAACCCGTCTACATTATGGGTAGATGTTTTTGTTGAGAGGGGGTACTATAGACAGGTCACTTTTAATGTAAATCGCATCAAACTACGTATTTAAAATCGGGCGCTATAGAAAGGAGGGCGCTATTAAGAGGGAGTGCTATAGACAGGTCACTTTTAATGTAAATCGCATCAAACTACGTATTTAAAATCGGGCGCTATAGAAAGGAGGGCGCTATTAAGAGGGAGCGCTATAGACAGGTTTAACTGTATATATATTTTTAAAATATAGAAATATTTGAGTTTTTAGATTATATAATATATATACAACTAAATATTAAACATAATATTACATATCAACACTATTATTATTATTTTGTCCACACATTGTGCGTATATATATAATATATATTTTATATTAAAATATTATTTTTTTTAAAAGATTATATTTCATAGATTCAAATACTCTGTTATATCGACCGCCAGAGGTCACGCTTCCCCTATAAAAACTCATTGTTGTTGTTTCCCGATGGCCTTTCGGGCTCAAAAACCATTTATTTTGGTTAGAAGCCCCGTAGATAAAGATATTTTCTCTTTCCCGATGGCCGGCTCAAATATTTTGTACATTATGTAAATAAGTTTTTCATTTTTTTATTCTTACGCATTAATCCAGCCAGTACTTTTATCAAATTATGTTTTTATATATTTCTTTAGCGCAATTAAAGCTATTTTTGATAACTAATTTTATTATATTCTTTTTCACGACTGCATACCAATATCAAGCAACATATAATAATTCTATATAAATAACAATCAAAATACAACAGAAATATCTTATTTATAACATATATATATAAGAGAAAAAAAGACTGTAAAGGAAAATGGTGGCAGAGAAGAATCATCCACCATAAGCTTATAGGTTAATATTTAATCTCGGAAGGAGAGAGGCAACAGCTGGGTCAGGTGACCTCTAGGCTGAATATTGATTGGCTGAGATCTTGTCAGGTATATGAAAGATGACGTGTGGAAGGATATAAATTCAGATTAACGTGATATAGGTATAATATCCGAAAGCTGAAATAATAGGGAAAACAAACACTTACTATATTTTTAAACACTCTCTATTAAAAATAACTTTTATTTAGAAATTACCTTTGTTTATTATAGTTTTAAGTGAATAATTCTCAACAATATTGCATATTTTCATTATAAAATATTCCTTAAAACTTTCTTTAATCTGTGAATTGTTTTCTTCGAATACACACAATACTTCAAAATTTGATTTCATTTAACTATATTTGCATACCAACTCTTTGTACCTATTCCAAATGTGTTGATATTTTTTCTCTTTTCATCTAACTAAAACTTGCATACCAATTCTTGTACATATTTCAAATATCTTTCTTTCCTCTCTTTCAATATTTAGTTTACCTTTGTAGTGCAAGTGTCCCTAGGGGGACATAGCGTTCTAAGTCGAAATAAAATTTGAAAAATATAAATATATTTATATAAACAACCTCAATATCAAAATGGAATAGAAATATCTTTATTAACAGGGCTAAAACAAAATAAACTAAAATAAAATGATTTTAAGTAAATGTCAAAACAACAACAATGAATTTTTATAAGGGAAGCGTGACCTCTGGCGATCGATTTAACAGAGTATTTGTATCTATGAAATATAATTTTTTTTTAATTAAATTAAATAATATTTTAATATAACATATATACTTTAAAAAATATTATATATGTTATATAAAAATATTATTCTATTTAAAAAATATATATATTTCATAGATCCAAATACTCTGTTAAATCGACCGCCAGAGGTCACTCTTCCCCTATAAAAACTCGTTGTTGTTTTATCCCAATGGTTGGCTCAAAACATTTGTACATTATGTAAATACGCTTTTCATTTTTTTATTCTTACGCCTTAAGCCAGGCAATACTTTAATCAAATTATGTTCTTATATATTACTTTAGCTCAAATAAAATAATCTCTGATCAAAACCATTTTTGTTATTATACTTTCAAGATATTATTCCCACACACAACTGCAAAAAAATATCATAATGATACTCATGGATACCAAAATCAAGCAAAACAGCTAATAATTCTATAAAAATAACAATCAAAATACAACATTCAACTCTTTTCTTTATATAAGATATATATTTATGGAACAATACTCCATATTAAAGATAATGTT